GAGCAGATGAAAGGAAAGGACTTCACACCACACATAGTAGACGGCGGTATTTACTACCTCCTCCCTCCGCATGTCCTGGTGGTTGTCAGCTTGGAAAACTGCAAAGGCAGATTAGATGAATACATAAAAAATGAGCCCCATCAGCGATGCCTAGTCAGACTGCCTGGTCGAGGAGAAGGTCCCTGAGCGCTCCTCGCTGGAGCCGCGCTGTTGCGCTCCTGGCTTGCTTGCCCGTCTGTTTGGCCACTGTGGGGACCAAAGGCTTTTTAGATGTTCCTTCAGTGTGCCCCGCTGGGGGTGGTCTGATTGGTTCATAGACCAGCATCCCACATCTGGAATGAAGTGCCACTGTGCAGGGTCGGAAGAAGGGCTTGGCATGACATTCGACCTTCCCAGAATATAAGCAAGCTGTAGAGCCCAGGGTCTCGTATTCAAGGAGATGGCCAAGCAAAGCTCATCATTTTGGTAGAACTAGCGGGGAGTGCGAGAGCGAGCCAGCCAGCCACGTCTTCCTGGGAGTAAAGGAAGCTGCCCCTTAGGGGGCAGCAGAGGGACGTGTCTGGGCTGCAGTGAGTCTCTTCCCCCCCCCCGCCTCCTCCTCCGATGGCTTTTGTCCTGCATTCTCACCGCTGCCGCCATGCTGCGCCCACGTTCCCTGCCGGGCCANNGGGGGGGGGGGGAGATGGACGTCTGATTAGAAGGTCTTGGGGAGGAGAGCGCCTTGTCCAAAAATTTGAATGGCTGTGAGATCCAGTGTTCTCAGTGCCTCTCCGCGTGAAACTTGTGGCCGAGGGAGAATAGCTGGTGTCAGTCACAGGACAAAACATGAAGTGAGGTTGCCCCCTCCCTTTATTTTTTCCTGTGCAGTGAAGTTTGCGTGCATGTGAAATGGCAAGAGGCCTCGCGTGTGCAGTAATGAGAAACAGAGTGAAATGGAGAAAACAAGCTTTGTCTTGGAACCGTTCGCCTGGCTTGCACCTACATGGCTGCTCTGTTAGACCCTGGAGGTTGCAACCCCAGACAGGGAGGGAGGGGGGGCTCTTTTCTATTCACAGGCCACCAAAACTGGGGCCCGCCCATCTTTAGTGAGGGGTGGTAACATCCTGCCCAAAACCCACTGAGCCAGGGTTCCTCTCCTTATATGAGTGTCTTGTGTCTTGCAACACTGATGGGTAGCTTATACCGGTTGTGTTGCAACATCAGCTGTCACCGAACTGTCACACTGTGAGCCCACATTGTCCTCAACAGTCACAGACTTGTTTTTTTGGAAACACAACAGAGAGAGAGAGCCTGCCATGCCACTGCTCTTTACCAGCCATAACTGATGGTGCTCATTCAGGAAGTAGATGGGCCATAACCGTCACGAGGTTTCTAACGTCTGAGAGAGCCAGTTTGCAGGGAGATTCTCTCCCCCCCCCCGCCCCCATTAGCTTTTCCATCATTCGGCAGTGAGCCTTAACTCTGTGTGGGAGGGCTGGGGGTTGAGTTACCATCATCATCATCAAGTCCTGTCGCTGCTGGACTGAAGGGAGTTGTGCCACTTGTTTTTGGTTTGTTTTTTGTCCTGCCAGACCTTTGAAACCCCAGCCTTGAAGCCCACTCCATTCTTCTTGCACTTGCCTCTGTTGCTTGGTGTACCCGTTCATTTCTAGACTCCGTTTTAAAGTCGGGACATTGCTCTTTTGGAGCCCTGAGCAGCCTTAGGGGCCTGGCTAGCGCCCTGAAGAGCTTGTCCTGGGGGGTGTCGGCCCGCCTCAGAGGTTTTGCTCTCTGGCCTGCCCCCGAGACAGAATAGGAGTGCTTCTCTCCTCTCCTTTTGGATCGTTTGGTGCCATATCCCCTGGAAACTTTGGACCTGTCCTTTGGGAGCTCACTTCAGCTTCTCTGGAGTAGTTCAGAAGGGGGCTCTTGAGCAGAGGATGCTTGGCCTCATCAAGCGACACATTCCCAGGTTCCACAGGGTGGACCATAGCAGTTAAAGAAGTGTGGAAAGTGTTGTATAATTACAACGTAAATTATAATCAACTGCCATCTAGTCGGTTCTGACTTCCCCCCAACCCTTTCCTGGATTTTACAGGTTGAGGCTCCTCAGAAGTAAGCCGCCTAGAGTGGTCCTAACCGACTAGATAGGCGGGATATAAATCGAATAAGTAAATAAATAAATAAGAAGTGGTTTACCCTTCCCTTTTCCCAGGGGTTCCCAGGGACTGTGCAGTTTGCCCACAGCCACACAGGCAGGCTGCAATCGCAAGAGGCACAACGAGGAGTCCAACTTGAGGTTCTCCAGCCAGATACTTAAGGTGCTGAGCAATCAAGCCAGCCTCTTTAACATGACAAGTGAAGGGCAGAAGGCTTTATGTCTGTCCCTTCAGGGGATTCACTTTCCCTGAGGGCTCTGCTTGCCACACCCGGCTCTGCACAGCCTTCGACCGGACTCGGAACGTTTTGTTTAAGGGTAGCTGGCATTGGCCTTTTTGTTGCATTGTTTCTGTGTGTGTGTGTTGTCAAGGCTTGTCTTGTGAAAAGGCTGGATCAAAACTAAGTCAGGCTCCCCACCCTAATCAAAGATAGAGCAGGCGTCCTCTGTGTGTGTGTGCGTGTGCGCCGAGGGCTGATGGAGGGCTCCTTCCTGTTGTCTGCTTTCCAGCTCCTTCATCCTGGACGAGTTCAAGCGGAAGTACTCGAACGAAGATACCCTGACGGTGGCGCTACCCCACTTTTGGGAGCATTTTGATAAAGAGGGCTGGTCCATCTGGTACGCAGAGTATCGCTTCCCAGAGGAGCTCACGCAGACCTTTATGAGTTGCAATTTAATCACAGGTAATGCTGTTGCCAAGGCCGGTTCTGTGTTCTCTGAACACCCCCCCACTCCCACTCCCACCCAGGTGGGAAGGCTTTGAACCTGGGCTAGCAACCCAGGTAATGCCTTTGCTCTCCCCCCCCCTTTTCCAACAGGCATGTTCCAGCGCTTGGATAAGCTGCGCAAGAATGCCTTTGCCTCTGTCATCCTCTTTGGCACCAACAACGCCAGCAGCATCTCGGGCATCTGGGTTTTCCGTGGGCAGGAGCTGGCCTTCACAGTGAGTCTCATCCCACGGGGATGGGGGGGGGATGTGGAAAGTGCTTTATGTGTGCTCTGTTTCCTAACCAGGCCTTTCCCAACTTGGTACTCTCCAGATGTGTAGGGGGAAAAAACATCTCCTGCCAGCAGTATTTATTTGCCACCTATCCTACTGTTTTCTCCAGCAACTGTGTGAGAGATGGATCAGGCTGGGCTGTGTAATTCTGGGCAGATTCTCCTAGTGGGTTTCAGTGGGGTCTAGAACCTGGGTCTCCCATGTCCCGGCTCAGAACTGCCCACGGTTACGCTACATTGGCTGTTCAGCATGTTGGCAGTAATAAGGCTGCTGTCACCCAGTTGGCTCATAGCCCCTCATTTGACTTGGCGTTTAATTAGGCCGGACTAAATGTCCAAAGTAAGAAGGTTGTTCTTCTGCACTCATGCCTTCTAGCAGGTGGCACCTTAGAGGTGTCTTCACATAAGAGGGATATTTTTTTTTTAATGTGTGTTACACACCACTTCCTCTAACAGATCCAATCAGCTTGGAGGTGAAATACGGCCACAAGGGACCCAGCATGGTGGTCTTGACTTCCTTGGGATACTTCTAAACTTTACAGAAGAATTAAAGTTTATAAGATGAAAGGGAGGGGTAGGGGGACACTTTTGGAAAACTCCAAACTTCTAAGCAGGCACCTCTGAAATCTCAAGACTTAACAGAAATGGGGTTTTGAGCCTCTAGAGTGATACCTTCCCCAGGCAGGGTAAGTCTTAAGCCTGGTCTCACCTAAACAAACAAAAGGTAAGTCAGATGGAGTGGTGTGCACTGCCTGAGCTGCAGCAGCCTTTCCCAGGCTCCCAGCACTCCTAGGCTTTGTGTGCTACAATTTCCATCATCCTCTGCCATGTACAGGAGAGGCTGTTCTAGAGAGGAAAAGGGTGGGTGGAGCCCATGTGGGCATGAGCAGGTTTCGTTGGGCTGCAAATCACAAACACCAGTGTGCGCTGAGCCCCATTAGCGCTTAAAGCCGTCTGGGTGGTTTCCAAGTTAATTACGCAGGCCGCACATCCCACCCACCCCCTCCCCACGAGCGGGATCCTCATTTTACCAAGCAGGCTCAGAAAAGGAGATCCTCGCCGCCTTCCTGTGAGCGCTATGAGCTTGTTCCTCCCCACTTCTCACCGCAATCTGTGAGGTTGGTCATGTTCAGTGAACTTCATGGATCTGTGGAGATTTGAACCGGGACCTGGTTCAGCCCCCGTTAGGTCACTCATTTTTAACTCTTTGGCAGAATTGAAGAAAAAGAGGAGTCACTTAGATATGCTGTAGGAAAACCCACATTGTCCCATTTGATTGGCACATAAAAGCACATGAGCATTCAGGTGTCCCAAGGTCTCCATCATTTCTGGCAAAAAAAAGAAGAGCAAAGAGTAGCCACTTCCCTGCCCCACATGGTGACTGGCATGGGCTTGCCCTCCCCCCCCAGAACATGCCCCCCCCCAGAACATGGTAACCATGTGAGACAAACGTTTGTTGGCAGTAATAACAAAAGCTCAATTCTTGGTGTGAAGCACAGGGAGCGAGGTGAGCGCAGGGAGCATTGGAGAAGGCAGGAACCACATAATACATTGTGCAGTCCAGACGTGCACAGCTGGGCTGCTCCACGGGGTTGACAAGTAAAGTGGGGCATGAGGGGGGAGGCCACCCCCCTCTCTACTGACCGTGTCTCCTCGTGTCTTCTCCAGCTGAGCCCTGACTGGCAGGTGGATTATGAATCCTACACTTGGAGGAAGCTGGACCCCAGCAGTGAGGAGTGCAAGACGCTGGTGAAGGAGTACTTCCTGTGGGAGGGAGAATTCAAGCACGTTGGCAAGGCGTTCAACCAGGGCAAGATCTTCAAGTGACGCAGCGGCCGGAGCTGGCCCAGAACTGTTCCCAAAACACGGACCTATCAAGGGACATTCCCCCCCCCCAGTGGACGCTGCCGCCACCACCACCACCACCACCAGTGGCAACAACAACTCAAGGCAGGAGGAGAGAGAGTGTGATGTTCTAAGATGTGAATTAAAATCTTGAGTGTGCTACTAGCTCTTGTCTGTCTGTCTCGGTGTATGTGTGTCTTCTGCTTCTTCTGGCAGTGGTATTCTTCCATGCGCCATGTTGGAGGGCCATTGCGAGTGGCCCCAAGCTTACGAGCCACCTTTCTCCAAGTGTCCCACTCCCATCTCCCAAACTTGTAACAAATGAAATGGGAGGGCTTTCTCTCCTCTGGGTTGTGATGTAGTCAAAGAAACCAGCCGGTATTCGTTCGCCTGCCCTTTCTCCGTGGACACAAGCAAGGCTCGGCTCTCACTTTGAACCCTCCGACGAACACAGCCCGCAAGAGTGAGAGAGAAGGCCGGCACGTGGGAGCGGGCTTCTGCTATCTTTCTCCTCTCGAGTGCCGCTCAAGGGATGTGATTCGCTGGACATCCTTCCCGCACCTCTTGCGCCCTGGCAGCCAGATCTGTGGATGCAAGAGTGTTGTGCGCACAGCATCTTCGGCACCCAGTGGCCACATCTCGGGGCCCGAGGGGGGGGCATTAAAAGTAGCTTTGAAGCTCAGCTCAGGTTCTTTGCATCTCATTCCTGTCAGCAAGAAAGCCCATTGGCTGCTAAAACCAGGCTTGGGTTGTCCTCTGCTTTCAAAAGTCCACAGTTCCCACAGTCGATTTTAGTTTCATTGTCTGTGCCGGCTCAGCGGATGGGAAAGACAGTCCGGGCGCAGCTGGAGAGCCAGAATTGTCCAGCCCTGGCTTTAAGCCAAGCCCACCTCTTGTCCTGATTCTCAGATCCTGTTTTTCAGCACAAGCTCGTGATCCTTGGAGAACCACATCTGAAACGTCATTTGGTAGTTGGCGGCAACTGGTCTAGGGCTGCTAATCAGGAATCTCTGTTGACTCTCAAGATGGCCTGTTCTGATCAGCAGCAAGCAACTCTTCAAGTCCTTGGCAGAGAAAGAACAATCTGCTGCCCGATCTTTTTTTCATTTCTTGGTGTGTTTATCGCACCTGACAGACATTTTTCCCCGAAGCAGTGGCCTTTGTCTGCTGCTTTACTGTCCCCAGCCCAATTGTTAGATGCTTTCACCTCCAGGAGAAAATGGCAGCCTGCTTTCCGGGACTGCACAAGCCCAGGCCACTAATGCTGGATTTGCTGGCTCGCTTAGGGTGGGCCTAAAATAGGTGCAAGGAGACCAAACCTATCCGTTCTGAAGGAAGTCAACCCTGAGTGCTCAGATCCTGAAGCTGAGGCTCCAATACTTTGGCCATCTCATGAGAAGAGAAGACCCCCTGGAAAAGACCCTGATGTTGGGAAAGTGTGAAGGCAAGAGGAGAAGGAGAGGACAGAGGACGAGATGGTTGGACAGGGTCATCGAAGCGACCAGCATGAATTTGCTACCAAACTCCGGGAGGCAGTGGAAGATAGGAGGGCCTGGCATGCTCTGGTCCATGGAGTCACGAAGAGTCGGGCACGATTTAAAGACTGAGCAGCAAAAAATAGGTAGAGCGGCAACTTCTGTAGCTGCTCAACAGGTTTCTGCTCCCAGCCCCTCCCAGTTTCTTCTGCCAAGCTATTTATGGGCGGAAGCAGGGATGGCTCCCTAGTTAGTGTGTCAAAGGACACGGGAGGCTGTGTGAAAGTTGGGTGTGTCTGCCACACACACACCCCCGACAAACACTTTTCCTCATTGATAGCAGGTGTAAAGGCCGCGACGGGGCAAACAAAGGCACACCTTTCATATCGATTGGTGCCTTGCCTTCACAAAGAAGGCAGACTGTTAGTTTTGTCACCTAGGAACAGCAAAGGCTTTTCCAGCCTCCAGGGGAGTAAGGGGTCTCCGGTATTCCTTTGGCGGATCGTTGCCAGTTTACGTCCCTAAGAAGGTGGTTGCGTGAGTCCCTTGCCCACATCTAACCAAAGTGTGATCTTCTGGCATGAACCCTAGTCCATGACATGCGGGAAAGGCGTGGAATGTAGGACCATCAGCACAACTTGATGTTTTATTTGTTGTTAGGTGCCATCTAGGGTCTCTCTAGTCGGAGACCCTAATAGGGCTTTCAAGGTGAGCGAGACATTTGAGAAATGGCTTAACAGTTCCACACCCCCAATGACCTTCCATGGCTGAGTGGGGACTCGAACCCAGGCCTCCCGATTCCTAGTCAGTCACTCTTGTACACTACACCACACAATGGGTTTCGGATTCTCTTATCTTTTGGCTACCCTGCACCACTAAATGATCTCTTATTTCTTCCTTGTTCACTTTAAGGTCCCAGCAAATCATTCCTTCTGCAGCAGACTTACCAGGTTTATGGGTCTCATGCACTGTCCATTCCGACTTAAGGTTTGCAGGACAGGTGAGAGATTGAAGCAACCTTAAATTAGGTTTGCAGGACAGGTGAGAGATTGAAGCAGTGGTTTGTCCACTACCACCTCTCCCTCATGCGTTTTCATGGCTGAGTAGGGATTTGAACCCAGTCCTCCTGAGTCCTGGTTTGATGGTACATCCACTTCAATACACTGGCTTTGACATTGAGATCCAGAGTTAACAGTTCTCATGGGAACCTGCAGGCAGAGGCCTTTTGTCTTTATCTTGACCTCTTTTACTGGCCTCCGAACAATACCTTCAAACCCATTTACCGTAGCCTTGTCCAGAGACGGGCTCTAGCTTCTTTCTGAGCTTCTCCCCTCCTTATTTCCTTAGTTCAGACTGCCTGCTCCCCCTTTTTTCTCCCACTGGGCTTTTAATATACTTCCCTATTTTTCTGTGTATAAGACTACACTTTTGTCTAAAATCTTCAGACAAAAAATTGAGGGTGCTCTTATACACGGAAGTAAGCTGAGGAGAGTATACACGGAAGTAAGCTGAGAACTAAAGCAAGTGCAGGGGAAAGCAGGGATCAAAGCGATTCTGCAGCACTTTGATCCCTTTCCCCCTACACTTGCTAAGCCCCACTTCTTAATTTTGGGTTAGAAAAGTGGGGGCGTCTTATACTTGGAGCATTTTATACACAGAAAAATACGGTATCTTTTTTCTTTTTCTGGATGTGACTGCTTGTTTGGGGCAAGGGCTGGGGAGAGTTTGAAGAGAGGGGAATGGCTTGAGTTAATCGCCTTCATCTGGTTCCTCGGGGGCCTTCAGGAAGAGTGAATCATGCATGCATCCTGCTCACGGGTGGGGCTCGGCCACAAGAGGCTCTGAATAGATCATAACATGCGTGCAGGGTTGGGAGGGAGCAGAGCCCAGGGCTGGTTGTCTTGAGACCAGACCTGCTTGGCCCTCACAGCTTGGGGACACCACGTTGGTCCCCTCTCATTAGAGCCCCTTAATGACAGTATCGTAGCACCTAACAAGCTAATCGGTTCTAACTGCCTAGGGACCTGCTGATCAAGATGCAAAGCAGGCTGCACTATTTAGGAAAGCTTGTTCCTAATTAAATGCGTTACAGTTTGGAAATGTCACAAGAACCGCCATGTGTTTGCAGCAAGAAATTAACCCAGCTATCCTTTGCAACTGATTGTGCTAGTTGATTCCAACTTGCAGTGGCTCTAGTCGAGTTCACCATTTCCCCCAGTGAGTTTCCCTGGCAAGAAGTTCCCAAGGCATGTGAGATAATTAAGGATCCCTTGTTTCCATCGCCATTTCCCCCAGTGAGTTTCCCTGGCAAGCAAAGACTTGAACCCAGGCCTTTTAGAGTGTACAACTACACAGGGAGAAACACCTGGTGTGCTTTGATGTTTTGTTTTTTTAACGAGGTTCCTGGTGGTTTTTGCTGGTGCAATTGCTGTACTCCTCCACACCGGTATGACCGAGTCGCCCGTTGCAACAGACCACACCACTCTGCCCAAACCAGTTCAGATTCCACTGAGACCCCAGCCAGGCCATCTTCATACTGCCCTGTTCCTCTTCCTCATTTTCGTTTTCTTTTAGAAGGGGCATTGCCCATTATCTGATTCAGTGCTAAATTTGGCGAGCATAGTAAAAGAACAGAATAATTGTTCAGAGCTGGCACGTAATTGAGGGGGAATTGCCCTGCTAGAATACCATACCCCCTCCGTAAATGTTGCCATAGACACCCCTGTAATGGCTCCTTTGCATCACAGGCAGAACAGGTAGGCAAGCTACGCTAGCTGAATCCATGCAAAATGAACCCCCTCCTGCTGGCTGAACGAAAAATTAGACCAAATTTCCCCACATTTAGTTTGATCTTGAATGTGTGTTCTGTGCTGTCAAGTCGGAACTGGGTTACAGTGACCCTCATCGGGCTCCCACTTAAATAAGTGAGATATTTGGAGTGTCCTTTTGCCAGTTTCACTCCCCCATTAACTTTGCATGGCTGAGTGGGGATTCGAACCCTTTTCTCCAGAGACGGTCTCCATCATTCTATCCACAACACTGCACTGGGAATCCATTTTATGCCATGTAAAGGTAAAAGTAAAGGTTCCCCATTACATTGAGTCCAGTCATGTTCGACTCTAGCGGGTGGTGCTCATCCCCGTTTCCAAGCTGCAGAGCCAGCGTTTGAAGACAGTTTCCGTGGTCACATGGCCAGTGCGACTAGACATGGAATGCCGTGACCTTCCCACCGAGGTGGTACCTGTTTATCTATTCGCATTTTTAACATATTTTTTGAATGGCTAGGTTGGTAGGAGCTGGGACAAAGCGACGGGAGCTCCCTCTGTCGCGTGGATTCGATCTTACGACGGCTGGTCTTCTGACCCTGCAGCACAGAAGCTTCTGTGGTTTAACCCACAGCGCCACCACATCCCTCCATGTGGTCACTGGTAAATGCTTTTATTTTAAGCATGCCGAATCAGGTGCAAACAACAGGCTAAATTGCAATGTGAATGCAACCTGACTAGCCATGTTAAATGCCTGTGTGGTTCCTGCAACGCTTTTCCAACCCATGCCCACTTTCATGCATGCACACAAAGACGCCACCTTTAAGGAAGCAGAAAGCAAACATTTACAAGCATTTTGACTGGTTTCCTCTTTCCGGGCTTTGTAAGAAGCCCAAACACAGTGATGCATTCTTCACTTTCTCTC